GTGTATAAGAGACATGACCGATGGGGGGGCAACGAGCCTCGCATCGATATCACCTTTCGCACCACACTTTTAACGAGTGCATTGGTATATGTCCGCGATCCCAAACACAATAGACGCAATAACTTGAAATGTATACCGTTTAATTATTCTGCTATCTTAATACTGCACTATTAAATACAATACATACAAAGCATTATCAATGTTATTGTGCAACTTTAGTCATGCACTTAAGTGTTTAAAAAAAACTCAAATTCTGAGTTCATTTTCAGGTGCGAAAAGAATACTTTTTCAGAACTTCTAGAAAAAGAATTCTTTTTGCATCTGAAAATAAACTCAAAATTGATGACTGAATTCTTTATGAACTCTGTGTGCTATCTGGGTTATTTGTGAAAATATTTTCTTTAATTTTGTATATCTTTAATACAAGTTTAATTAAGAAAAAGAAAAGATTACCTTTGAAAATCACGCTCTTACGTAGACATTCTCTTCACAATACGTGTTGCCAGCGAAAAGACAGAGTTCGGAATGATCGAAACCGTGAAATACGAAAATATTATTGATGGAGTTCCGCATGATTCAAATTCTATACCAACAATATCAAAAAATACGGTAGTGTCTCATGACAAGTCTACGTACGTACGAGACCAATATAAAAAATAATCCTAAGAGGACATTTTTAAGTACAAAAAACTTATATCTTGATTTATATCTTATTTGCAGATAAATTTATATATAATATAATATATATTTATATCAGAAAAATAATTTATCTACCGTTTGTAATATCATGATCAGTTCAATTCAACTAAAAATCACGAAAATTTTTAAAATTTACACAAGAGTATTTTTAGAAATTTTCTGAAAGATATTATTTTTATACTTCGTCAAGTACTTCGTAATCTTTTATTTATATTGAAGTCAATCGAGTATGAAGGAGATTAAATGATATCATAATATTATCCAACATTTGTATATTTTGCTTTTTAATGTTAATTATGCGTTAATAAAGTATCACATATCGTTTTACACATGTATTTTCACACGCGGTCTCCATTTTAACAACCGTTCACCTCGAGTTTTTGGTACACCGGTCTACTTTTAATGGCACTAAAGCTGACAGATTTTTCAACCTCAATATCTGTTGCATTCACGTCGTCCCATCTAAAACGGCAATATGAAAGAACTTTAAATATCGAATATTATTAAAAAGACCTGCCATCTTTCTCTACGACAAATTAAATTAACAAAATAATATACTTATACAAGATAATACTTACTCGATTGCGGATTGACATGAGCCTGGATTGAGACCCTCTTTCCTTTGCGCGATGTATAATTCCCTTCCCGTTATAGTATCTTCGTGAGGCGATTCGGCCCATAATACGTCTCGCATCTTTCGTAGAAACATAATAAAGAGAAAATATAAAATGTTCATCATCTCCGATTATATGTTTTTATAATTTTTTGCACCCACCGCTTCCACAGTTTGGAAAACTCGAATAAGATTCTTTCCAGCCAATTTTTCCAAATCCTCCTTGGTCCACCTTGGCTCTCCCGCACGACTTTCATACAAACGATCGAACAAATCGGGATACTTGGAGACATCTTCCAATCCCACTGGCATTCTGATTAATTTCATCAAATATATTTAGCCCTTTATTCGTTGACTCATCGTGTAATAATTAG